CGGTTAAAGAATGGGACTTGGGCTTGAAATCTGGGTTGTGGGCGCCTAACACTGCGATGGACACGGGGAAGCGCGATCCCTAACTCAGCGGAATGTCTTCTCACTGTGCGGGAAACTGGTAAAACATCTCGTGTGTGGATGGCTGCGTGTGGCGAACGGGTTCCTAAGCGGCGAGCAAAAGCAGTCACAAAAGGATGCGATGTTCAAGTTGATGACATTGCCTTTCAAGCAAATGGTTTGGTTTGTTTTACGGCATATCAACACCTCAATGGGTTATTTAATACCGACAAGATTTTTATTACTGGTAATACTTACCTTCCAAAAATGTACCTCTGGTAATTGTTCTTATTTTCAAAAATGAATTGCTGGCAACAATTTTTTTCTTTTTCAAAAATGTATTGCTGGTAATAATTTTTTTTTTCTTTTTCAAAAATGTACTGCTGGTAATAATTTTTTTTCAAAAATATATTGCTGGAAATAATTTAGAAAAATATGTGCTTCTGTTATCAAAACCTATTTTTATACATCTGGCCAATGTTTTCAGAGGAGCGTATTTAAACTCAAACACGTGAACAATCCCTTCTTTAGACGACAAAAGTTGGATTATTCACGCTCTGATTATATCTGTCTTGAAAAGATAAGAATGAGTAGATCTCTGTCTTGAAAAGATAATGTTAAAAAAGAAAAAGAAAAAAATGCTTAGTAATATTCTTCTTCAAGTTAAACAGCTATTAAGATGGGTGCGTTAAGTGGAATGGGCGAACTGAGTTCGATTTGTTTGTCTCTTTTGCTCCCCTTAACACAAATGATCTTGAGAAAGGGAATAAATTTAATTTTCCCATCTCCATGAGAGCCACTCATTGCGCTTTCTTGATCTAACGTTTTCCACTGACAAGAATTGGAACGATTATATCGAATCAGTTGTCATGTCTTCTGATAAAATGTTGGTTCACAGTGTTACTCGAGAATCTGTCTTACACGTTTTTAAGTCTACTATTCATCAAACATTACCAGGACCGGCTCAATGTACTGGCAACTCGGGCAGTTGCCTGGACGCCATCATGCTGCCATTTCATATGTTTGGTATCTGTGAGGATTCACTCACATCATAGCCGGAGAAATTAGCCTCGTGTTCACGGGGATAAAAGCATAATGAGGTAAACAGAATTTCAAACTTGATATTTGTAAATAAAAACAAAGTACAGACAACTCTTTAGGAAGTCAAGGATTTGACACTGTATTTATATTATGAACATGATCTGATTCTAAAATGATTAAAAAAAAAAAAAAAATCAATATTTTTAGATTCTGACAAATATCGTGGTTTAATGAATATATATATATATATATATATATATACACACATATATATATATACACATATATATATACACACACACACACCTCAGGCAATGATAAACTTCTGGCAAGTGAATGATTATTTTAATTACAAAAAGCAGAATACTTTTTTTTTTTTTACTTATATATTTTTCAGGACACAAAGTTGTCTGCATATAGACTATTTCATTTTGGACAGATACATTATTTCTATATATATATATATATATATATATATATATATAGGAATCTGGCATTCAACTTTCCTAAAGAAAAGAGGTGGGAGAAGTAATTTAACAAAATGTTAACTAGTTATATGATTGGTTAGCTACCTACATAAAATCTTGTAGTTGATAAATAAAAGGGCCATTTAAGAAACTGGTAAATAACTTAAACCATTTGAAGAAAAAAAAAACAAAAAAAAAACTTTGGCTAATTAATATGCAACTGTTAAGTAAGGAGCATCCATAAAAGATGTTAATAATACTAACTAATCAATGCCAGATGTTAATAATCCTAACACCTGTACATCCAAATAAGATTTTAATACTAGCTAAACAGAGCTATATTAAATCAAAATGAATCTTACAAATAGAATAGTAAGCCACATAAGGTACAACTTAGTTCATCTACTGATTATTACTATGAGAAAAAGTATTATCAAATTAAAGTTTAAACATATTGTAAGGTAAAAGGTAAATTATGCCTACAATTTACAGTCAATTCACTTCTTTGGTTTAATAAAGAGTTTTTATCAGAAAATCTGATAATTTCTAATTTATCATATAAGCATAGAAAACGGTTCATTTAAAGATCTATATGTTCTAGCTTTCTTTAAAATTTTCCATTTTACCTTAGGAGTTTTATTAGCTTCTTTTAAATTCCAAAAATATTTAGAAAGCAATGTACTATTTTTATAAGTACTATTAGTGAAGGATATGTTATTTTGATACAACCTAGTCTTAAAAGAATTCTTAGTACTACCAATATAAAATTTTTCAAGTAGGATTTTCTATTGTAGAAATAGTACTTGTATAAACAAGAGAGTTGGTTAAACATATTTCATAATGGGCATTCGTTAAAATTCCTGCAATTGCATTGGTTAATATTATCAACATTAGATATATAAAAATCCTCTTTGTAAGTGAACTGAATGATTATGAAAAGTTTACCTATGAAATTCTGGAGCCAGGTTATAACATTATTCAGCTAAGTGAGAAATTTTTATATTTGTATTATCATATAAAATATTCTAAAATAAAAGAATTCAAAGAATAAATCAATAAAGTTAATGTAATTAATGGCAAATGCATTTTGCTAACAGATTAAGAAGGCATTAACTTACTGAATGACACGATCCTTGTTTTTTATTAATTGTACAATGGATTAAATGTTCAGTCTGTATTGTTTGCAAGTACTTTCGGTGAAATTATTTTAATTACCATATACTTGTATTCTGACTGGTTATCATAGGATATGTAACAAAGTCTCCTTACTGAGAGAGTTTGGTTAGCTTTTGAACTCATAAAATCGTTTGGTTTCCATTCAACATCATTTGATAATACACCAGCAGTGTTGAAACAAAATTGCAGTTTTTGTAGTGATCTTATATGTATGTTATAAATTTGATTATATATATATATATATATATATATATACACACACACATACATACATACACACACACACACACACAGTGCAGCTTATATTTTATATCATAAAGAAACAATTTATGCAAAGAATTAAATAGCAATGCTAATGTGATTAATGGTGAAATCACTTCACTAACAGAACTTAATGAGACATTAACTTACTATCAATTCCTTGAATAAGATCCTTATATTCAAGTTGCTGTCACATGGAAGACATCCCAAGTACTTTTGACATTTTCATTGTGCAATTTTCTTATACATAGGCAAATACTAAGACAAAATATGTGTAGACCGAAAGATGTTTTTTTTTTTTTTTTTAAATTACGCTATTTATTGACAGTTGAATATGTTTTGGAGCGTGCGATGCCGTGACGTTAGAGTTCTTGTTCAAATTGACCAAGTGAGAATTTTGAAAAGTTATAAATCCACAAAATTTTCTTGTTATTTATCTGTTAAAGTGAAATGGACTTAGTATAATCCAATTACTAGAGTAAATTGTGCCCTGAAGATGACAATTTAAAATTGTCAAAAGTACTTGGCATGTTTTCCATCTGACAGCAACTCAAATATAAGGAATTGTAAGTAAGTTAATGTCTCATTAAATCTGGTTAGTGAACTGATTTCATCATTAACCACATTGATATTTAATTCTTTGCTAGCAAAGATAAGAAAATGATAGAAAGTGATTTAAAAACATGAATATTTTTTTTTTTTAATTTCAATTTCGTACATAAAATATGAAAGAGAGCCAATTTCAGTGAATGCAAGACTTCTGAGATGTCAAATTGGTTGATGGAATCGAATTGACTGTCCTGTTGGGGGAAAAAGAAAAAAAGACGCAAAAGGATTTTCAGCTGATGTCATCTGGATGGTGACTGGAGAATTGGAATCTAGTTTAATTTTTATGGCCACTGATCTTTCACAACATCAATTCTTCTCATCTATGTGTCTTAAGAGATACCACGCTTTAAATCAAAATTACATTTCAACATGGAAGTCAGTGAAATGGAGAAAAAGAGGATCTATTGCCTAAATTGATAAGCCCCACTCCGTAAGGAAAAAAAAAAAAGCCATTTGCACAAGGAACAGGGCCTATAGGTTAAATTCATAAATTATTCATTTAAAAAAAAAAAAAAAAAAAAAAAGGGGGGGCGGCAATCATATTCATTTTTTTTTTTCCAATATGAAATTCATAATGTAACCAAAGTATACAAAATATTTTCTTTATTTTAGACACGCGAGTGTGTGTGTGTGTGTATACATTTATTACTTTAAACACTATTATTATTAGTGGATACCTATATTGTGTTAACACTATTTGCAACAGTATTTTATATCCAATAAAATTATATTGGTTTAAAATATATACATTTTAAACTGATATATTTTTATTACTTTAAATGTTATTTTTCAAATGTCAGTTTTCAATCAGCACCTTACAATTGTATTGTACATGAAACAATTGTGCTGTTGGTAAGTTAAATAAATGCAAGTCACAACCTTTAATTTTATAAATTGTACCAAAATTTAAAATGTAACTTAATGCAACTCTTAATTTTTCAACATTTTAATAATGATCATGTGTGGTGGAATAAAAGTTATGGCCTAATTTTTTTTTTTTTTTAACCGGGATAAGATAGAGAGAGCAACTACAAGGAAGAAAGAAATTACATTTGAGGAAAAAAATAATCATCTAAGTAAAACCGACATTTTCATATATATATATATATATTATATATATATATATATATATATATATAATATATAAATATTATATATATATATATATGAAAAAAAAATTGAAATTGTATTTTCCTTTTTTTTTTATAAAAATATTAAAAAAGATTCCATCTAATAAAAATAGCTTAAGAAAAGACAAAGGTCACAGTGGCCATAATAAGGCATGTCACCCCCACTTCTGAAAAGTCAACATATTTACAGTTTTTTTTTTTTTTTTTTTTAGAATATGATCCTGAAAGGTTATGCATCTTCAGTTCTGCTGTGCTATTTCTAGGCGCTGTTGCCAGCTGATACTTTCTTTTTCTCTGGCATAATTTTACTGAGAATTACATAAGAGTACCCATCGTCAAATAAAGGTTCCTCTGGAGAGATCTCATCCACGGCGTACCTAAAATTTTAAGACAGAGAGAGGAAAAATAAAAATTTAAAAAAAAAATAAAATAGGTCAACAGTTTTATAAAAAACAAAAAAATCAATGACAAGAAAAAGAAAAAAAAAAAAAAAAAATTGCTGTTTGAATATCTGCTGGTTTGCTTTGGTAGCCTCATGTATAAGGAGTCATATAATGGCATACCAAAACCTTATTGGTCATTTAATGACAAAATTTAATTTTCTTAGGAGCTTTGAAGTAATAAAAATGTTATTCTGTTGCCATAACTGAATACATGGTAGGTGATAGCAATGGTACTTGTCCTGCTTGTACTGTTGACATCTCTTGGTTAAAAAAAAAAAAAAAATACCAAGAGGTGCCGTTCCCAGGGGTAACATCTTCCTGCAGCAGTACACACCTCATTTCACTAGAGAGGGGGTTCAGTAAAAATACTGATGCCAGTGCAACCAATGGTTGCAAGGTCTGGGAAATTTTTGCCTCCAACCCCTGGGCATACATGCTCAGGTTCCCCACATGAAACAAATCTTGTCACAGTGGGGAGATGAATAAATACCATGGCAGATGACACCCAACCTTTGTGAATATGCATGTGTATTTGCACATGATTACTAGGGCTGGGGATATGCATGCTTTATGTTGGAGTTGAAGTAATATTTTGGAATACAGTTTGATTTAAGAAATTGTAGGACATTATATGGATTAATGTCATGAAAGAGTTATTTCATATTAGTTGTTTTTGTTTACCTCTATAGGTTATTCAATGCTAAAATCTAAACATTTTGAACACAATTCTATGGCTTCAACTAAGTATATTTTGAACACAATTGATCACATCAACTACAGAAATGTATTGTCGGTAATTATACTATAAAATGTATTTTGATATTTTCATAGTTTACTATTTGGGGGTTCAATATTTGCCGATAGCTGGGACCCTAACAGGTGCTACCACTCTGGGTCATCCTGGACCCAGGAACAACAGCTATTAAGAGGTGGTTCCATGCTCCTCAAAACCTAAGTATTTATCGTTGGTATTAAGTAATCAAATGTTTCATGATTGATTGATTTATTTGTTTAATGGCACATCCACTCATTGTAGAGCATTTAAATCTGAAATTTAATTTTCTTGAGAGCACTGAAGTAATAAAAATATATGTTATTCCGTTTTCACAATTGAATACATGGTAGATGATACTTTTCGTCATATACATTCTTGTGTGAACATGATTACGAGGTGGGGATATGCGTGTTTTATATTGTTTTCTTGAAGTTTGAAATACAATAGATTTAAGAAATTGTAAGACATTATATGGATTAATGTCATGAAAGAATTCTTTGATGATCGCTGTTTTTCTTTATCAGTATATCAACACCTCTTTGGGTTATTTAATGGCAAAATCTAAATATTTTGGAATACAATTGTTTACCTACATTTACAGATAAAATGTATTGTTCATCATTTTATTATTATTATTATGAAAACATATTGCTGGTATTTTAACTATAAAATTATATTTTTATACTTTCATAGTGTTTTTTTTTTTGGTGGGGGGGAATCACTATTTGGCCAAAGCTGGGAACCTAACAAATGCTATCACTTCTTGAGAATGGCAACAATTAAATCCATGTTCCTGAAAACCACCAATCTCTCAATCAGAGACCTTGTTGAATTGGTGAGATGTAATTAAGTTCTATTCTAATACTTTCTTCTTCTTTTCACTTCTTGCCTGTGGAACTATCTTCCTGATTTCCTGTCAACTTCTGATCTTCAAAGATATAAATTCAATGTCAGTTGTCATCATTGGTCTTCTTTTAATAACTCTTTGCATCTTAGTGGCTTTACAACTTTGCTTGCTGGGGTGAGATGATTAGAAAAATAAACAAAGTCAGTGTATAGAAACCTGGAAGCTTCAATCCTGTTAAAGTCACCACTCTTTATTCTTGATAAAGTCCTTTATATTAAAAATAACGTTTTTATTGGGGTTTTTTTATTATTTTATTTTTAACTGGTGGTGGTAGGGGGTGGGAGAGAAGAGCTTATCTTTCAACAGCAAAAAGAGAATCTTGAAAGTTCCACAGTCAAACCAAGAAGACTTTCCAATAAATAAAAAAATAAAAAATAAAACTTGATATTTTGCTAAAGGATTCCTTCCATTTTTCTTAAAATTAGTTAACTTTAAAATAATAATAATGAGGAGGAGGGATAGAGAGAGAGATGGAGGATAGAGAGAGAGAGATGGAGGATAGAGAGAGAGAGATGGAGGATAGAGAGAGAGAGATGGAGGATAGAGAGAGAGAGAGATGGAGGATAGAGAGAGAGAGAGATGGAGGATAGAGAGAGAGAGATGGAGGAGAGAGAGAGAGATGGAGGATAGAGAGAGAGATGGAGGATTGGAGGATAGAGAGATGGGGTGTAGAAAAGAACCATTATGATTATTATAGACTTCATTTTAAATAAATAAATAATAATGTGGGGGGGAGGGATAGAGAGAGTGGGGGAGGGATAGAGAGAGAGGGATAGAGAGAGAGATAGGGGAGGAGAGAGAGAGAGAGAGATGGGGGGGAGAAGAGAGAGAGAGAGAGATATGGGGAGGGATTAGAGAGAGGGAGAGATAGGGGAGGATAGAGAGGGAGAGAGAGAGATGGGGAGGGAGGGAGAGAGAGAGAGAGATATGGGGAGGGATAGAGAGAGAGAGAGAGATATGGGAGGGATGAGAGAGAGAGAGAGAGGGGAGGGGATAGAGAGAGAAAGGGAGAGAGGGAGGGATAAGAGAGAGAGGGACAGGGAGAGAGAGAGAGAGAGATATGGGGAGGGATAGAGAGAGAGAGAGAGAGAGAGACGGGAGAGACAGAGATTTGGGGAGGGAAGAGAGAGAGAGAGACGGGGACGGAGAGAGAGAGGAGACGGGGAGGGAAGAGAGAGAGAGGGGGGACGAGAGAGAGAGAAATGGGGAGAAGAGAGAGAGATATGGGGGGGATAGAGAGAGAGAGATGGGGGATAGAGAGAGAGAGATATGGGGATAGAGAGAGAGAGAGAGGGGGATAGAGAGAGAGAGAGAAAAAGAGGGATAGAGAGAGAGATAGAGAGAGAGAGAGAGATATGGGGAGAGAGAGAGAGAGATGTGGGAAGAGAAAGAGATATGGGGATAGAGAGAGAGATGATTAGAGAGAGATGGGGATTAGAGAGAGAGAGAGAGATATGGGGGTGGAGACATTTTAAAAATAATCATTCAATTAGTGTAAATGAAATCTTGTATCACAATGGAGAATTGCATGCTGATTAAAAAAAAAAAAAAAACACACACACACACAGAAAGATGACATATATAAATTCATTTCTCATTTAAGATAAAAATAATAAAAAAAAACTCACTTCAATTTTTTCATAAAAAAGTCTTCACCCACAGGGTTGTGTTTAAATGTTGTCAACATCACTTTCTTCATGTCTGTTCTGAAAACAAAAGTATTAAATATATATATAAATTTTATTTTATTACTATGAACATAAGTTAGTCTTTAGTTAAAAGTGTAATAAATAAATATTTAATTATATAGATTTATTTTTATTTTTTGGGGGTAAAAGTATATCTTTAAGAAAGCCAGACGAAATTGTTATTGTCAAATAAATCTTTTAGTTTTAGTGGTTAAAAAAATGCCAAAATTATTTTGTGTATTGTTACAGATTTTTTTTTTTGAATTTGTAAAAAAATATTTCATATTTACTGGCCAATCAGAAATGTGGACTCATGCCCTTGTAAATTTTGGGGACGAATTCCCTAGAAGCCTCTTTTCTTTTGTGATAGTGTAATCCCTTTTTGTCATATATTTGAATTTTTATCCTGCCTGAATTATTGCATAAGACACACAAAAGTATATTTTTGTGCAAGCTCTTAAATTAATAAAATGTTTATCCTTTAAAATTTCACATAGTGATTGAGTCTTGATATTTGCATCTTACATTAGGGATAAGAGAAGCACGTGTTCTCTTTTCCCCATTGTATTCCTACTAACTAAATTTGTGTGTTTGGCTCAAAAATTAAGGTTTTTGTAAGGAGTTAAACACACACACGCACATATATTTTACACATACACTGGCGTTTGTATATATCACATATATAATACATTAAAAATTTCCCCTTTCTCTGTAGTGTGCCAATAGCTTAGGGTAGAATGTCTGACTGATGCCAAATTGATCCAGTTTTGATCCCGGCTTGAGGCAATCAGATGTCTAACCACACTGATGAGCTGTGATATATACATATATATTATTTACATTATTCGACTATTGTCCTTCATCTTCGTCCTCATATTTATCACAATGTTTTTATTTTAAGCTCCAGCCTTCTTCAGGGGGTTGGAATTTTGAACTGAACCCTTTATTTCACTGTTGGGTAAACTGCCATGTTTAATGGATGTCAGTTATTAGTCATCTCCTGCTAATTTCCCTCTGAAAGTTATCCACTGCCTTAACTGGGTATTGAACTCACACTCTTTGGGTCCTGTCACTGGATCTAACCAATGCCTTTATCCACTGTGCCAAGTGTCCTTGAGGACACTGTGATTGTATGTGAAAGTGTTTCAATGTGGCCATAAGCTCCAGCTAGGTGTTAATTAGTATGACTTATATCAGTAAATCAGTATCTCCAATGTTTACAGTCTAAAAATATTTTCTGCCTTTAAATAACCAGAAAGTGTTGATAAGTTGTAAAAAACAAATTAATCTTAGCTTAACAAAACATAACATTGTGACTTTTCTTCAATAAACATTTTCCTGATTTTTATTTTTTTTTTTATTTTACAGCTGCCCATCCAAGTACTTTGTCCCCACCCATCCTGGCCATAGACACAAAAAAAAAAAAAAAGGGATCATCTGTGCCTAAACACCAATGCCAGGCTCTCGGAAATTACATGAACGATTGATGGCCACAACTAACAAGTCAGGATAGTTTGGGACACTACAAAAACACCCAAGTTGTGGTAAAAATCTAAAAAAACAATACGATAAAGAGAAAAAACCTAGGCAATAATTAAAATACTTCAAAGAATTCAAATAACTGAAAAATTAATTTACTTATGTGCAAGCAATTCAAGAATTTGCATAAGGAACTTTCCAAGACCTTTACGCCGAGCCTCAGGAACAATCTGAATTTCATAACTGAAATTGAAAAACAAATAAAAAAGTAAAAAAAAAATTCTAATCAATTCTTGTTTGCTAAAAATAACTAATGAATAACAATAACAAAGATAATTAAAGCCACAGCGTTAAAGAATGTCATGTGATTTCATTTAACAAGGGGAGATAACTTACCAGTAAACGACTTCATCATCGCATTCCAAGTCAAACCTAAAATGTACACATGCAACTGGTTTGTTGTTAGTTGCATCACGTGCTATCAAGTACCAGGCTTTGTCTTCAGTCAGTTCAGTCTTTTTTTCTCGATCATTCCATCCCCAGTCACTAGTTTCATATCTGAAGAATGAAAGTAGTTAATGTTTCAGTGGAACTCC